CGTGTCGTCGTCGTCGTCGTCTCGTGTGTGTGTGTGTGTGTGTGTGTGTGTGTGTGTGTGTGTGTGTGTGTGTGTGTGTGTGTGTGTGTGTGTGTGTGTGTGTGTGTGTGTGTGTGCAGTACACGCTGTACACACACAAACACACACACCAACACCAGCTTCCTCCCCACCAAATCACCTTGAAATATCAATACCAATATCATACATTTTAGACAAGCAGCTCATATTGATGCAGCATTTTCCTTAGTTAAGAGATTAAAGCTGGCTGTTGAGAGGTAATACAATGTGTCTGTCTTCCTTCTGTCCACCACTTTGGTCCAGACAGAAACATCTCAGCCTTTATCTGAGGTATTATGATGATATGTGGTTGTTGATGAAGCTTCTGACAGTGAGCAGAGCAGCTTCAGAGCAGCAGGTCTAACTCACTGTCTGTCTGTCAGTATGGGTTCAGTCTGGAGAACTGGGTTCTTGCCGGGCTGCAGAGCGGCTTCATCAGCCAGCAGAGTCCTCCGCTCTGCTCCCCGTCCCGCCTGCAGCCGTCCTGCCCCCCCTACTGGATGATGTTCAGCAGCCCCCAGCAGAGCCGCCTGGCCAGCCGCCACTGCTCCGACTTCTGGGAGCCCACCCCCCGCCCGCGCTCCCACAGCCTCAACCCCGACTTCCTGCGCAGCAAGATGGCCGTCTCAGACTCGGAGGATGATGGAGAGGGCGATGCAGTGAAAGCCTGCTCTGTTGGAGGGTGTCCTGCTGCTCCAGGTGGGAGGGGTCAGAGGAGAGCACAGGCCTTCGTCCCTGACCTGCTGAACCCCCCCTCCTGCCTCAGCAGCCTGCCGCACCAGCGCAGGAAGAACCTCCGGCAGTGCTCCCTGTCAGTGCTGGACACACCCAAACAGCACAAGGCCAACACAGACAGCAGACCCCACAGCCACCGGACCCCCACTACCAGAGCCAACACAGTGGACCGCCTGCCCAGCTTCTACAGCCACAAGACCACATACACGGTAAGAGCCCATCAACATGTTCATGACTGCTGGAGCTCCACCTTTAAGCATTTCTTTAAAGAAAATGAGTTCCAGGATGTGTTTCAGGATCATGAAAACATTATCTAATGGCAGCATGAGCACTGTAGGGATCTGGCTTGGTCACGGGAGGGTGGTTGGTGGAACGGTACGTCCACACGGCAGCGTGCATTGAAGCTTGCCGGTGGGCGTGTCTGTCGTGCGACCAACAACCAATCACATTCATCTCCAGCCCTGGACACACAAGCACGCGGTTTGATTGGCTAGAGCTTGTATTGGCAGTGGCGGCGCCAGGGTATGGCTGGGGTATACAGCCATACCAAGAAATGGCTTAGCCCTACCTTAGCCCCACCATGACAAATGATGTTAAAGTAAGCAAATTCAATTAAATAATAAGCAAAATGCTAAATGTTGAGAACAAGACTACAAGACAAATGTGCCATTTTATTTCATACAGTTCCATTCTGATTGAGACAGGGAAATCATCTAAACCTCACGCGTGGCGTTTCACTGTCAAGGGGGTCGATATAGCGTGTATGTAATTACATTGCAAATACTGACTTGAGCCCCACCACTTAGCCCTACCCAGCGCCATATAGAGAGAATATTATTATTAGGGTCGGGACTTTAACGCGTTAATTAAGATTAATTAATTACACAAACATTAATGCGTTAAAAAATTAACGCATTTTAATCGCACTTATTTTTGCCCTGCGGAACATTTCTCACTGGATGAGTTTCAGGCGTACCGATTATACTGGAGCACCAACTAACGTTCATGACTTCAGACAACAACAAACCACAGTGAACAATAGTCAAACATGAACGAAGAAGCTGATGAGAACAACCGCTTTGGTTGGCCCCCCGTGCGATGGGAAATTTCTTCTTTTAAAACAAACGGACGACGCGTCACCCAAAATGGAGGTTGATAGAGCAGGTTGTATGCAAAATTATGCAAAAAGGAATTCGCATATCACCGCGTAAGCACACACAGACTCAATTATTCTCACCCTCATGAAAATAACATATAGGCTTAGGGTGGGAGCATAGACGTGGACGATCTAGCCCGACCCGCCAGCTAAAAGGATCCCACTAATACTTGACCATAGATTCCTCAGAGAAATCAACGGAGAAAGCCATTTCAAGATGCAAAATTGGGGAGGAGATGTTCCATGTCTTTTACCAAGTTAAAAGGGGGAGGCGTCTAGTGGAATCCGCCAGGAGCGTTAAGATTAGAGACAGTTAACAGGTTATTGTAGTTGTCAGAAAAACTTCCTTCGGT